CTAATGTTGGCCTGAACCAAATAACTGTGAAAACAAATCACGGTAACCTGTATTTTCAATCCAGTCACGCCTCTGACTTTTCTCCAAACCTCTGCATCAAAGGTTTCTAGTAAATTCTGTGAATGCTGGTTCATGTATGGCTGTCTGGCTCATGACAGATGAGGTGCTGACTGAGAGAAGGGCAGGGTGGCATGCTGGCAGACGGAGGCCTTGGAGGCTCAGAGGTAGACCTGAAATAGCCCTGCTGCTGCATTACAGCATTACATCACAATTGAGTCCACCGTCATGGCTGCCACTGCATCATGCCACTGCCGAGATGTCATAGGATGGGAACAATTGGATGCAACGGGTGTGAGTCACACAACCGAGCAGTCAACAGGGGAAGCAGGCAGGCAGACAAACAAGGAGCAATAGTATGAGGATCCATACGCGCAGCAAACCCCACACTTCCTGTGTAATTTAAAGCAATGCACCACAACCGCTGGTAATAAGGCAGAATGTATCTGCTTACATTCCTTACTGCATCTGCATGACAGACACTAGAGAGACAACACGCTTTCTGTTTTCCCACAAATACCACATTATTTGACATATGAGAAAAATGACTGTTCCTGCTCCTGACAACTTAGTCAAAACCATATAACCACATCAAAGTCAAAAAGGTACGAGCTGAGCGAGTACCAGCGAGAACTAGATCAAACGCTGCCTGTGGGCTCTCTCACCATCAATCCTGTGTAAAAAAAAAAAAAAAAAAGGAAACATACCTGACATGCTTTTTACGCTAATGTCTGTTTGCTGTTTGCTTGGCTGTGGGAACAGTTGTAACCAATATATTTGCAGCACGCGTATTGTCTCCAAAGTAGCAGAACAAGTTGGTTAACATGTTTGACCTCTCCAGATACTGCCGCCGTGCCCCAGGAGACAGTCCTCACTGTGGCAGTTTTCACACAAAGCAGATAGATGACAGACAAAGAGAAATATGTAATTCAGCTCTACTCATAAAGCGTTTACAAACACTTCAACATTCTTAGAGAGCAGTCAAATCTTAAAAAGAGGGGACCGGAGGCACTGTCTGAACCCAGAGAAATGTATTGCAAATTCAAGTCAAGACCCAAAAGCTTCCATATATGGCTCAAAACTTGTGTGTGTAATAGTGAAGTCATTTAAATTGTTTTTTCAAAGTGAGAATCATTTAGGTTCAATAAACAGTACACGAATAAGCAGAGTACAAAATATTAAAGGGGCTATATATGAACTCAGAGTCTGGGCCTGGATTGTCCACACATGGCTCTCACCTCTGACGTCACAAGCAAACATAGGGGTGGCCCAGCCAAAATGGCAGCGGCTAGCAGTGCTAACAATGACAACAGTGGTGACAGAGCTAATGGTGGTTGGGACTGGAGGGTCAGTGTTACGCTTCTGAAACTGTCACAACATTATCAGCTGTGATTAGCTAGTCAGTGGGACACAGACACACGGACTCACATGCACTAATAAGCATGCGCGGCCCAACTGTCCACAACAAAGAACAGAGAAGCTCAGATTACAACACGCACAGAGAGCGTGACTTCGTTCTCTGCTCACGGTGCCATTCCTCCACTTTATCTTTACACACCAAATAGTTGTTTGCTGCTTTATTAATGTTCAAAATCTCATATGTAATACTTTTATACAATGTGGACTATCTTTAAGCTGCTAAAAGGGAAGTTTATGGTAAAATCATAATTGTTTAAATGAAAGCACGCAGAATTATCAGCTCGATAAAGTGGAATCCTTTAAGAAATACATGTCTATTAAATATAACAGACAGAGACAGACATAAGACAGAAGTAATAGATCAGTAATAAATGTTAATTTCAGGTCATCTTAAAGAAAAAAAAACATATTTTCCACTGGTGATACAGATGTGTTAGTTGGAGAAACAGCCTGAGGTTATTTGGAGAAGCATGGGCTGCTCTGCACACATGGGACTGCTCAGCCCAGTGACGCTCATTTCGCCTGAACTCAGAGCGAGCTCTGTCCAGAGACCGAAGAAAATGACCAACAATCACAGAGAGTATACACCCTTGTTCAGATTTGAGATGGCTTCTTCCAGGAAATCTATCACTGCTTTGTAGTCGTGGTTTTCCTCACCAGCAGAGCATCAAATCTACAAAGAAAGAGCATTCTGGGCTAAATAACCGTGTCTCGCTTGTAGATGCATCATCTTGAAGTGATTAGGCCAGGAAAAAACGTTGGACAAACATCACTCTGGTGTGATAGAAAGGAGGAGTCCGTCTCCTTCAGGTGGACCACCATGGGACCTTATGTTGGAGAAAATATGTACGGTAGTTAAGGAGGAGAGACAAACAATTCTTTGATCCCGTTTCAATGTTGATATTACAGATACGATGTTTGTCAATTTAAAAGATAATTTTGCAGTTAAAGACACTGTTAAAACTGTTTAAGACTGTGAAACTATGTAATTAGAAACACTACACATCCAAAAGTCATGTAAATGAGGCTAAAGCTATGATGCCTGTGTGTTTAGTACCGTGATGTATTCACACGAGCGACAGGTTTTGCTTGTTCTTTTGCATCCAGGCTGATAAAAAGATCAGGAGTCGCTGAATGAAACAAAAATGGTGGGATAACATTACATTAGTGCCATATTTATATTGTTGACGTTCTGTGCAAGACGAGAGATGTAGCTCACTGAGCGGTCTCACTCGAAACTCAATGGTACTAGGACAAACTGCGACTTTCTTGATTTGCAAAATGATCTTTTAAATTGACAAAGATCCAATGTAATGTAATTCATTGCACAATTCAGACAAAATTAAAAAAAAATATATGTTTTTAGCCGTTGACTAGCATTCATATTTTTTCCAAAATAGGGACATCGAAAGGGGAGAGATTTCACCTCTCTATTAAGGGGTGGGGAAGAAATCAATGCAGCATATTATTGCAATGTTTTATGTGGGTACATGGACGACAAATATCTTTTTTTTAACTTGCAAATACAAATTAATCTTTTCGTAGCCTACTGGAATAGTTGAAACAACTGCTTTTTCAGTCTACTGAATTTTGGGACATAAGTTGCAGCTGAAAAAAGGTAATAAAAAGTAATATTGCAATAATCTGCACATCTCAAAATGTTAAAAACCACAATAACATTGCAGCGTGACTTAAAGTACCATGAGGCCTCTCTGGGGATTCCCACCCCTATCTCCACTGCATAGTGAGGCATGCTTTGAGATGTATGTCAAAAACATCCACTGAAGAACGGCAATAAATGAAGGTAGATAACAAAACCAGTGAGTGTAAAATCACACTCTGTAGCTCTTTTGAAGGCAACACCGTGATGCAGTCGTACAGGACTGTGCACTTGGCAGGACTGACAGACAGACAGACAGATACCGCGCCATGAGTCATGCAGGCATGACTACAGTGTGGCCCCCTCAGCAGCCCCCTGAAAAACTCACATACCAGCCAGTCAACACAGGCCAGCCTGGATGGTCCACCTGCCTCAGCAGAGCTACTCCGAGCTCCCTCCAAGTATCACGTACCCACATGAATCCACATAAACATCTACACACACACACATACACACATTGGGAATATTCACTCAGGGGTCCAGTTGGATCAGATACAGAGGATGAGCATGACTGCCACTATCACACATCAGAGCCCTGCTTTATTGGTGCGATTACATCACCCAGAGCCATGATCCCCCTCCCTCCATGTGATAAGGTTTCAGGAACACTGGGCACACAAACCAGGCCATGTGCTACTATGTCCTGTCTGCCAAAATAACTCAGCAGTTTCTAATACAGTACGTCTATGGTTTCACTTTAGTCTGCCCAGGTATTGTAGGACATTGGAGCGCGTAACCTTCCTGATGTCAACAAGTTTGCAGTTTGTTAATGTGCGAGCCGCTGTCCTGGAGCTTTGGGCCCCTGATGAGTCAAATCCAGCCTTTTTCAGGTGGCCCCTCCACGCGTACGATTTTGAGGAATCTGTGCCCTTTTGTGACCGTCTGCCGTGAGTCACTTTGAGTCACTGTGTGTGAGCGCCTCATGAAAGCCACAATACCAAAGACAACAAAGAACTAAAGGATAAAGTAACACTTTCAGGTTCAAAGGGTTCAGGGAGACGACATGAGAAGCTGCCCGCTGTTCTTTTTCATCCACATTTTCACTATGAATTATGCAACATTTGTGTGTAGCCATCTATATTATTGCAAAGCGCAGAGCTGCTATTTGTTGATGCACAGACACATTTAAACATTCATGATTTCCTTCATGGACGGTGATGCTGAGCAGTAGGAAGAGGAGGAGGAGGAGTGGGAGGAGGAGGAGGAGGATGACTGAGGTCATGGTGTGACTTTATGCATGATGTGTTGCATGATTAGTCAACAACATAGTCATTTAGGTTCAAACTTACATTACAAAATTGAGCCATCTTCCAAAAGCCTCCAGCCACATGAGATAATGCTGCCTGATGTCGAAATTAAACCATCAAGCCTTTTGCTCATAGTGTGCTTCTAATGAAAGTAATCCCTCCTGAATTTGGCCAAGTTTAAGTAAAAAAAAAAAAAAAGTAATTTAGCTTCTCAGCCTGTGGCTCATTTTGGACATGAGGCTCATTTCACACCTCATTAAACCCACTTCCACATCTTTTGCATATGCATCTTTTGCATATGTAGGGTATTTCACACTTTTCTAAAAGGTGACTGGGCCTAAAAGGTAGACCCAATTACACTACATGAGCACTTTAAATAGCCTACTTTCACTATGAAAACTCCTACACGCAGCGCAGATGGCACAGCCCCTTGTAACCTCACTATGCTCACTATGTCCAGCCTGTGTGTGAAGGATTCCCATGTTGCCCAGTAATTCATGGACTAGTATATATGCTGGTTTATCCTCCTCGATCACGACGCGTGAGCGCTTCCTCCGGCTGCTGCCTTCCGTATGGGCGACCACAGGAGACAGTCACGAAATTATGACACAACTTACCCTTCTAACAACCGGCTCAGATGATCCCCAGCAGTGAAAACAAATCCGGTTTCACAGATTTTTTTCTCCTCCAGGCAGCAGATGAGATGATTTGTCACATCATCCTGATACAGAGGCGCAGGAATAAACGCGCTTCTTGTTTTTTTCCCCACAGCCCGCAGATGTTTTTTAAGCCAAGCCCGGTGCCGTGGTATTAAATCTGGCCAGTCTTGATCACACCAGCAGCAGAGGCAGTCCAAGGTGCTGGGGTGGAAATGTATAGCCGCCGTCCGGATCTCTGCTTCCCACCTACGGACAGAGCATTCCCACACTGCTCCATGAATCGACCCGGGGTAAGTTTTCTTCTGCCGGTTGTAGCCTAATTCAGTTTGGCGGAGAGTCAGCCCCGCCCTGGACTGGAGACGGTCTGTGGAGAAGGCGAGCCCGTCAAGATCTCCAACCAATCGGTGTGGACACAGGGAGGCGCTGCTTCTCCCGGTGAGCGGCGGTGACTAAGCGATATCTGCAGCCAGAGAGTGGCACTGAAACTGGGGTTTAACTCCCTCCATCTACACTGATTATGTCATTTATTTATTTTATTTAACCTTTATTTAATCAGGAAGTCCCATTGAGTTAAAATGCAACAAATAATAATAATAAACTTTACTTACATAGCACCTTTCAGAACACAGTTACAAAGTGCTGTGCAATAAAAATAAACACAATTAAAACACAAGAAGAAACAAATAACATGGCATAAGATGTCATCTAGTAAATAAGGCAGGCCAAAACTAAGATCAAGATAATCAATGGGAAATAACATCAATAAGATAGCAGATAAAGTCAGGATATGCTTTCCCATAGAAGTATGTTTATACTATAAATGATATATCTTCATAAGGAGGAATCCATTTATGTGTACCTATGTATGTGTATGCTATGTGTGTGTAGTAGTATTATTTTTTTTATTTTCTTATTTAATTAATTTTTTAGTTTATATTTTTTCATTATGTATAAATGTGCGTATGTGGCTTTGTGTTTATGTATATGTTACAGTGTGTATGTGCATTTGTGCATGAATGTATATAGGGAAGACTGGGGATGATTGTAACACTTTTTGTTTGAGCAAGTGTAACTCAGTGGGTTTTTTTGTTAGAGCTCTTAAATTTTGATACGTGGTACCCATATTTGTCTGCTACAAATAACACACACTTTGACCTCTACTACACCATCACAGATTATGGAAATTAATGTCAAATACAAAGAGGTATATTGTTACAACGTACACCAGTACACTAGCTGGGAATGGATGTAACAATTAAATTATTGTGCTTAAAAAAGATTCACAATAGGCTAAATGTATACATGAATAATAAAGAAGGAACAATAAACTTGTAAGAATACAATAATTATAATATTAAAATAAATAGAAACATATAACATAAATACAAAAAATAAGTACAATAAAATAAATGAAAATATATAACATAAAATAAAGAATAATAAAGTATTAACCTGTGTGTGTGTGTGTGTGTGTGTGTGTGCGCGCATTGTAGCCTGAATGAGGTTGAGGTTTGAACAGCATTTCAACAGTTGAACAAGAAATACTTTTGAAGAGTTACAACCCTCCCCATGCCTAGCAGCTATGAAAGAGCTAACCGTTTTTAGCATTTAGCTTCAAAGCTAGCACTAATGAAACACATCAAATTAAACTAGAGAAACTACTACTTGAACCTATGTAAGTGAAACAATTGTACATACAACACAATGGACACTATGCAAAAAACAACTGTGATGAAAATGTTTGGTTTCTCACCTGAAAAACTGTTTTTTGGCTCTAGAACAGACAAATTTGGACTCAAAGACATACGGCTTCACCAGTGAGCTCCAATTGTAAATGGGCATGGACTATGTTGATGATGTCACCACAGCTCGTTTCTAATTGGCCAAACTGAGAGTGTTACAACTATCCCTTTGTTACAACCATCCCCGGTCTCCCCTACACCGATCAGCCAAAACATTAAAACCACTGACAGGTGACGTATAAAACTATATTTTGTTCCAGTGCATTGTTCTGCTGGGAAATCTTTGGTTCTGCCATTCATGTGGATATCACCTGACATGTCCCACCCACTCAAACACTGTTGCAGACCAAGTACCCCTTACACCCTGACAATAGCACTCCCCAATGGCGGTGGCCCCCAGCAGGATAACGCACCATTCAATGCTTCATGAAGCTTCATCTCACCATCACTAGTGATGAGTAAGTGACATTTGTAATAAAACATAGAGATGTACAGCATACTGAACCGAGACAAAGCAAAATGGAGACAGTTGCATACATATACAATATGTCACTGTAATCTATCACACACAGAAAAGTAGCTTCGACAAGTTTTTTTCTTAGCACGGAAAGTAAAACAAGACTTATTTCTAAAATAAAAGCCAGTCTTCACTTTAAGCTTCTTAACTAGAGTAGCAATATGTGCAATAAAAAGCTTGTCATCTATCCATATACCAAAAGGACATTCTTTCAACTGATTTACCGTCAGAAGTGAAATTGTAAAATCCCGAGCAAGGTCCTGTCCATTAAATTTCTAATGACTCCATTTAAATTTGACTTAATAAAACAGTATTTTATAAACATAATTTCATAATAATTTCAGGCTCTGCAGCAAGAGCATTCAGTTTACCAGTTTACCATATTGTGGGCTGCTTTTAAAGACTGACACAAACCTTTGTGACTGAAAAATCCTCAAACAGGCCCATAAATAATTGGAGCATATTTCGTTTGTTGGAGGTTCAAAGGTTATCATGATCAAAGACAGTCTTGCTTACAGCGTACTACACAGACCTGTTTGATGAACGTGGGGCTAATACATGTTTCATGGCTCCTATGACTACAGCAACATAGAGCAGGAAAATTTCAAAATAAAGCACATGGTGACATGTCATAAGAGATGATGCAACATTATCAAAAAAGAAGATGGTTCATTCCCATCTGGGGATTTTAGCAACACAATTAATTTAGTTCCAAAGGTTTACTCTTATTCCAATTATTAATATTAATAATTGGATTTTTTAATTTGATTTGATTGGAAGTTGCATTTTTTTTATTATTAAAGTTATACTGAACTTTTCTGAAAATGATCGTTTCACATGACATAAGAGCAAAAATTCAGAGGAAGAGTATGTCACCCTGCTGGGAAAAAGGAGCATAGACCAGCATTTAAATCATGCTGGCCTATGCTGTTTATTTGTTTGCATCTTGGGGAAATGAGTCTGTCACTGAATGTGCTCCCATGTCTGACCAGCACATCATGGAGTGGGTGGGAATCATTGTCCAAGATGGCACGTATCTTACACAGTATCCTCCTCTCTGACACTGCCACCAGAGAGTCCAGCGCCACCCCTACGATGATCAGTTTATTGAGTCTGTTGGCGTCTGCTACACTCAATCTGCTGCCCCAGCACATAACAGCAAACAGGATAGCACTTGTCATCACAGACTTAAACATCCTCAGCATTGTCCAGCAGATTTTGAAGGACCTCAACCTCGTCAGAAAATAGAGGCAGCTCTGGCCCTTCTTGTAGAGAGCTTCAGTGTTCTTGGACCAGTTTATTGTCAATATGCACTCCCAGGTACTTGTGGTCCTCCACAATGCCCACACTGACCTCCACTATTAGTCCATGGGTTGACAATCTGAAAAGCATCCAAGGCACTCTGATTGCAAGTAAAAAGTGCGTTTCAATCATCTATGTATTAATTAAAAAAAAATTCTTGTAGTCAGAATGCCCTGGATGCTTTCAGACTATCAACCTATCCTCCTGAGACCCTTTGTCCTCATATGAGGACATCACATTTTGGGTTTACTTGACCTTATACTTCATTCTACTTAACTTAGACCTGTTGTCCTTGTTCGTGGACACTGTTTTGTGCCATCTAGTGGTAGTAAGAACACAATACACTCATCCATGTAAAAACAAGATGGCCGCCATCTCTGCCAAGTCAGTCTGCAGCAGATCCTGACACGAAAGTGGACAAGGTCCAAAACCTGATCACATATTATGGTTGAAACTTGTTTATTCATGATTAATAATGTTTGTAGTGTGACTCGCCCTACAAATTTTACCAATGTTAGCAACGGTAACAAGCCAAGATGCTATTAATTAGAAGGTACTCATTGAAAGACTTTATCATTAGCTCTTTGAAGGACATTGGGACTTTATTATCATTTCGTTTGCGGATAAAGGGTCTTTATTATTGTTGACTGTGTTAAGTTTTTTATACTTACCAGGTCCTACTGATCCCAAATAGCTAGGAGAAATTAAAAATGCAAACCAAACAGAAGTTTGCGTCTCAGGAGGCTATACCATGAACTCAAGAGCGGATTATGAGACAATGGGCCCCTGGGCATGGATATGCAAAAGACCCCCCATCGCTCCTACATAGGAGCAAGACACACACACTTTATAGTTGTTAAGCTACATTTTATTTTTGTTTTGCATCTCTTTGTTGATGTTTTGTGTCTCTGTGAAGCAATTTAGTGTCTTTTTTATTCATTTTGTGTCTCATTGTGGTCATTCTGAACCTCTTCCTGGTCAGTATGTGTTAGTTTGAGTGACATTGTGCAGGTGAGGGCTAGGGGGCCCTCCTTACACTGTACTTTGGGTTACCCTGAGCATGTGCAGTGTAGGCGTGCTCAGTTATCCTTCCATGCATGGGCTTAAGTAAGTAACCTGGACAGTCACTGTTTTTTATTCTTATTCAACTGCTTGCCCTCCTTGAAGAACACCTGATTTTATTACAATTTATTACAATCAAACACCTAGTTTCTTGACCCAATGCTGAACTCCTTTCTTTTTTCATTATCAATGACTTGAATCTTGAATCACTTTTTCAGTCACCAGTAACTGCTGGTACTTTCAGAGCCTGTAGAACACAAAACAATAAGCCACTTCATCAAGTAAAGCTGTAAATTCATAGAAATTCAAGTGTTTGCACTCAGAGAGAAAGAAACCTCTCTTGACTCATTTGAGGTCAACACACTTGAGCTGCAAGAGATGACACAGTCCTCCTCCCCTTTGCATACTCCCATCAAACATGTCTGTCCTGTACTTACTTCTTAGATTATGTCATAGATATACTCAAAATGATAGAATGTCTAATAACTGATGAGAATCTTATTTCAGCTAACCTGGGAAGCTGAAATTAATTAATATAATTACATAGGTAGGGCGGCACGGTGGTGTGGTGCTTAGCACTCTCGCCTCACAACAAGAGGGTTGCCGGTTCAATCCTGGGTGTGGGAGCCCTTCTGTGAGTTTGCATGTTCTCCCCGTGTCAGCGTGGGTTCTCTCCGGGCACTCCGGCTTCCTCCCACAGTCCAAAGACATGCAGACTGGGGACTAGGTTAATTGATAACTCTAAATTGTCCGTAGGTGTGAATGTGAGCGTGAATGGTTGTTTGTCTCTATGTGTCAGCCCTGCGATAGTCTGGCGACCTGTCCAGGGTGTACCCTGCCTCTCGCCCGATGTCAGCTGGGATAGGCTCCAGCCCCCCCGCGACCCTCAAGAGGATGAAGCGGTTAGAAGATGA